ATAGAGAGAGAATGAGAAAATGATGGTATATATATATATATATATATCTTCATGAGGATGAATAGGGGATGGAGAAGGAGGATGTAAGATAACGCTTAGCATCGGATAGCCATCGTGTCGATCATGTGAAGGATAAGCTGCGAGGACGAATCCACAAGACGCGCACGAAACAATAACCACCCTTGAGATTCCCAAAAGTCCCTGGGATCTCCATAAGTTTCAAAGGGTCCCGGGAAGCCCCCCGCGCCCCACAGAGGATAAACACCCAAAACGAGCAGGGGAAGATGAGGAGAAGGATGACCAGAGAAACGCCAGGATGCATCAACGATACTGCAATACACCCACCCGTCCCAAGCCCCTTCCTTATAAATCCCCATCGGCCTTCTTGTCATCTCAGGATGAATCCTGTTGGAAGACTGGTACCCTGCCATCAAGATGATAGCCGCATTTTGAAAAGGAGCTGGCATGCATCCTTCTAGTGAATTCTATGGGAAGTGCGAGCCGGCAGGCTGTGTAACGATGCGTCCAGCGCAAGCCCCGTTTTGAAAAGGAGCCGCCGCTTCCATCCGCGTAACTGTTGCCACGCGTGCACATCGTACCAGGAATTTGGAGGAGGGAACCACCCTCAATCCGAGCAGTTGCTACGTATGTTCAGCCTTATGACCGTTCGTTTGAAGAAAGTCTCGAGCGAACGCTCCATGGTGAAAAAGAACCACCCTCCATTCGCGTAGCGGCTGCAAGCTTTTACAACGAATGTGCGCGGTGCCAAGGAGGCACGAATCTTGAAAACCAGCTGCCCTCCATATATGTGGCTGTTGCAAACTTCTAGGAAGGAACGTGCGCGGCGCTAGGGCGATAGCCTCGTTTCGATCCCCAATCCACTCTTGTAGCTGTTGCAAGATTTTACGACGCGTCATCGTCGCCGACGTCGTCGTCCTCAACATCGCTGTCGCCGTACTCCTCTGCGTCCTCGCCACTGACGTCGCCATTTTCGTCCCCGACGTCGTCGTCAGCGGCGTCGTCGTCGTCCTCGGTGCTGCCGTCCTTGTCGTCGCCGTCGTCGTCGGCGCTGTTCTCTGCGTGGCCGTCGGTGTTGCGGCCGACGTCGTCACCCTCGACGTCCTCGTCTCGTCGCCGTCGCCGTCGACGTCGGCGTCGCGCCCGTCGCCGGCGCCCTCGTCGTGGCCGAGGCCCCCCCGCGGCAGGCCTCCATCAGGTGTGCCGCGGTGGAGGCCGAACGGGCACGGCGAAGCGAGGCCCGGTGGGTGGAAGTCGATACCCGGAAACGCCTGAGCCCCGGAACCGTCGCGTGTATCTGTCCCTGCTCTGCTCCTCCTCCCTTCGCCTGTCCTCGTCCCTCGTTCTCGTCCCGCCTCCTCCTCCTCCTCCCGCCTCCCTCATCCTCTACCTCTTTCTCTCCTCCTCCTCCATTCATCCCTCCCTCATCTCCTCCTTCCTTCCCTCCTCTCAGCCTCCTCCTCCTCCTCCTCCTCCTCCCCTTGGCGCCCTCGCCCGCTCGCAAGTTTAGGCCGCAAACGCTGGACGCCCCACGGGTCCCACCGGCCGTGCAGGCCGCGCGGGCCATCCTCGCATCCTGGGGTCTTGTGATGCTGGCATTAGGTCGGGCGTGTCCTCCTACAGGCGGATTTTGGAGGTCAACAAATGCTCAAGAAATCGTCCCCAGACTATTTTTTGCCTTGTTTTGAGTATCCCCCTGTAGATGGACACGCCCGACTTAATGCTGGCAACCAAACGTCCTGGCATCCCTGGCATCTGGGCATCCTGGTTTCCCGGCATCCCCGCGTCTCAGCATCCTGGCATCATCACCATCGCCAGTCGACGATGACCACGTGCACGTGCAACATAGAGATTATGCTGCGGGATCCTACCATTGTAAACCTGTTGTTATCATGCAAACGCCTCATGAGCAACTGCCACGTCAAGGATTGGTCGCTGAAGTGCGCTGGCCACTCAAAGTGACCAGGCCAGGCATACCAGCGGCGGTCACAGGTGAGGCGCTGCAGACCGCTGGCCAGTAACGGAGGGGAGGGAAAGGGGGAGGAGGATCGGGGAGAACGAAATGGTAGGATAGCAAACGGTAGGGTCGAGAATCAGCTCACGTGGCTGGTTTTCCTGGCGCCTCCTGGCGCCCGGAGGCGCCCATGCACCGAGGAATGGGCCCGGCGGTGGGAAGGAAACCAGCTGCATGCAGCAAATTTCATAACCACCCCCTTTCCCTATCCTACCCTGTCGCCCGGCCCGAGAGGAGGAAAAGGGGATGCGGAAGGAGGGGGGGACCTCACGGCCTCATGGCCATGAGTCAACGGCTCTCGTGGCGCCGCAACCCGTGCAGTGGGACGTCAGAGCGACCCTCACAAAGATCGCCTGGGCCCCGAGACCCATGGATCTCGACGGCGTCCCCTGGCCTCTGGGCCCAGGCTCCCGCGAATGCGGGGCTTTCTCGCCACCTCCCCCTTTCCTCCTCGCCGCCCCCTTCCGCCTTCGCCTCCCTCCTCCCTCTGCCCTACCCCTCCTCCCTCCTGCTCTTCCTCCTACTCCCTCCTCCCTCGTCGCCCTCCTCCCTCGTCCCCCTCCCCCCCCTCCTCCCCCCTCCTCCTCCCCTCCTCCCTCCCCCCCTCCCCCCTCCTCCTCCTCCCCCCTCCTCCCTCCTCCCTCCTCCCTCCTACTCTGCCTCTTCCGACGCCGACGGCGGCGAGCGACGCAGACCCGTGGCCTCTTCCGACGCCGACGGCGGCGAGCGACGCAGACCCGTGGGAGTCACGCTCTGTGTTTCCGTGGCGCTGGAGGTCTGGGCCCTGCTTCGCCTCCTCTTTCTCGTCCTCGTCGCGGTCATCCTCATTGCCGCCGCCCTCCTGCCTTCCTCCATCTGAAGAATAATAACAATAATACGAATAAGGATATAAATAACAATAACAATTGCTAATACTGGTACTACTACTACTACTACTACTACTACTACTACTACTACTACTACTACTACTACTACTACTACTACTACTACTACTACTACTACTACTACTACTACTACTAATCATACTACTACTAAAATAACAATATTAATATTATTTTTAATGATACTAATAACAATAATAATACTGAAACTAATAATAATACTAATGCTACTAATAATAATAATAATGATGACGCTGATGATAAGAATAATAATAATAATTTAATAATAATAATACTAATAATACTACTAATAATAATAATAATAATACTAAACATACGAGTAATATTAATATTATTATTATTAATAATAATATTGATAATAATAATAATAATAATAATAATTATTATTATTATTATTACTACTACAAAGAAACGACATGCGCACACAAACTTTTGGGGTGGGGCGTCGGACCTCTATGTTTCATGCCGCTCTGCCCCCCTTCGAGTCTTCCCTCTCCGCCTCCTGGGCCGCCCACCTTCGCGCCTCGAGGCCCGCTTCTCTCCCCTTCGCGCCCCCGCGCGCCGCCGCCCCTGGCGAGGGCCGCTCGGCCGGCCCAGGCCGCGACGCGACTGCCCGCCTCGCCGCCGCTCGGACGTCCGCTCCCCGTGCATTCTTCGGTCTCGTGCGTGCGCGTGTTTGCCTGGCCCGGGCCACCGAGGAGGAGGAGGAGGAGGAGGAGGAGGAGGAGGAGGAGGAGGAGGAGGAGGAGGAGGAGGAGGAGGAGAGGAGGTAGGAGGGGGAGGAGGAGGAGGAGGGAGGAGGAGGAGGAAACGGGAGGGGGAGCAGGAGGGGGAGGAGAGAGGAGGGAGGAGGAGGAGGAGGAGGAGGGGAGGAGGAGGAGGAGGAGGAGGAGGAGGAGGAGGAGGAGGAGGGGGGGGAGGAGGAGGAGGGGGAGGAGGGGAGGAGGAGGAGGAGGAGGAGGAGGAGGAGGAGGAGGAGGAGGAGGAGGAGGAGGAGGAAGGAGGAGGAGGGGAGGAGGAGGAGGAGGAGGAGGAGGAGGAGGTGCTCCTCGAGGGCCCCCCCCGAGGGACAGACACGCACGCGCCCGAGCGATGCCAGGCCGAGGGGCGCCGTGCTCTGCGCGCCCCTGCGCGGCGCGGCCCCTGCGGCGCGACGCCTCGCGGCCTCGGCCGGGCAGGGGTCCCCTCCAGCAGGCGGCTCTCCGGAGAAGGGCGCGCAGGGAGAAGTCGCCACACAGCGCTCAAGAGTGGCACAAAAAAACATGCAGGCCTCGGACAAACGCTGGCGAGCACACGTGCCACATTCGTCTGTCAACGCCTTTCCCCCCCCCTCCCCCCAATGTTCGAAGTTGGCGGTGGGTCTGATGTCTGATGAGTGGCACCTCGACCGCAGTCTCCCCCGCGCGTGCCAACTTTGAGTTTGGGGGGGAGGGGGAGTGTTCAGTAATTGTTTCCCTCGACCGAAGCAAAGGACAAATAATCAAACAATGCTCAAACATAGAAAACACATAGTACAACAGTCGTCCCCAGACTACGTATTCTTCTTCTTCTTCTTATTGTTATTATTATTATTATTATTATTATTATTATTATTATTATTATTATTATTTTGATGATGATTATTATTATTGTTTTAAATTTAGAATATCCCTCCTGTAGAGGGGCACGCCCGACTTCAACCTCGGCTCCTCTGCCGCCCGGCGGCCGCCTCCATCACCTCGTACAGCATGGAGACGCGCAGGCACAGGGCCCGCGCCTTCGCGAAGTCCATCGCCTGCCGGGGGGGGGCACGGAAGGGCAGGCGAGCCATGGGGCAGGGCTAGGGGAACGAGCAATGACTTGAACAGAAAGATTTTAAGGTCCGCGCGGACTTCTCGGATCGGCGCTGGACCCCCTGGCGGCGCCTCCGGCGCCGCCCCTGGCGCGCTCCGCACGCCAGGGAAGGGGGTCCAGCGCCGATCCGAGAAATCCGCGCGGACCTCCGAGTCTTCATGTTTACGTCTTAGTTCGTTCCCCGAAGGGCAGAGAGTCGGCTCTTGTGGCTGGTGTTGCTGGCGCCTCCTGGCACTGGGAGGCGCCTATGCATGGAGGAGTGGGCCCAATGGCGTGGCAGACAAACCAGCGGCATGTATCAAAAATCAGACTCTGGCAAGTTTACTTGCATGGATGGGAGGGGGCTGCACCTGAAGCAAGCCGCAAACGACTTGACGTGCGGAAGTCGCGCAAGTCGAAAGGCACTTGCACGCTCGAATCCGATTGAAGAGGGGCGAAGGTGGGGGGGGGGGGCGGGGGGGGGGGGGGGGGGGGCGAACGCCGTGCAAATAAACTTGCCAGAGTCTGCAGAAAAACAGGCTCTTTCCCAGCCCGGGCCTGGCGGGGGGGACGGCGAGACCCGCCGGCGTCGCCGCTGCGGCCCTCGTGGATGCGCGCGGCGGCGCGCCAAAAGGGGGTGGCGCGAGAGGGGCGGCCTTCTGAGAAGGGGGGGGGGCTTCATGGAAGGCGGGGGCCTGCTCGGAAGGCCCCGGGGGCGTCCAGTGAGCCTTCTTGGAGACCTCCAAGCCCTCCTCAGGAGGCCCTGGCCGTCTAAGAGCCCCCCCTCGCCTGCTCAGAAGGCCGCCCCCCTCGGGCCACCCCCCTTCTGCGCGCCGCCAGATGATGTCAACGTCGTCGTCGTCGTCGCCGTCGCCGTCGTCGTCGTCGTCGTCGTCGTGGCTGTCGCCGTCGTCGCCGCCGTCGCCGTCGCCGTCGCCGTCTCCGTCTCCGTCGCCGTCGCCGTTGTGGTTGTGGTTGTTGTCGTCGTCGTCGTCGTCGTCGCCTACAACGCCAGCGTCGTCGTCGTCGCCGCAGTCGTCGTCGTCGTCGTCGTCGTCGTCGTCGCCGACGCCGACGCCGACGCCAACGCCGACACCGACACCGACGCCGACGCCGACGCCGACGCCGACGCCGTCGCCGTCGCCGTCTCCGACGCCATTGTCGTCGTCGTCGCCGTCGCCGTCGTCGTCGTCGTCGTCGTCGTCGTCGTCGTCGTCAGCGCCGTTTTCGTCGTCGTCGTCGTCGTCGACGACGGCGAAGCCCGTCGCCTGGCAGGTGATCTTGTTGAGCGCCTGGAGGCACGACACCTCGGCGCCGCCCCCCCCCCCCCCCCAGCGGGCGGGGCCTCTAGCCCGCTCACCGGCCGCGCGGAGAAGAGGCTCTTGGGCCGTGTGGGGGGTCCCCTGCACCCCCTCCTCCTCCTCCTCCTCCTCCTCCTCCTCCTCCTCCTCGTCCTCGTCCTCGTCCTCCTCCACCTCCTCCTCCTCGTTCTGCTTGCCTCCTCCCCCTCCTGCCTCCCCTCCTCCTCCCCCGCCTCCTTCTCCTCTCCATGGCCCATGCCCCATCCCCTCCCTCCTCCTTCTCCCCTCCTCCCTCCTCGTCGTAGTCGACCTGGGGGTGGGCCTGGGAGAGCCAAGGGTTTTCCCCTGGACCCGTGCGGCATCCGAGTCGACTCGGCCGCTGGGGCCGGGCTCGCGGTCGGGCCCGCTCGGCTGCTGAGCGGGCCAGCTTCCCACCACGAGGGGGGGGGGGGGGGGCGGCGGCTGGCAGAAGTCCCCCCCCCCCAGGCCCCCGACGTCGTGATTTTTTCGCAGCGTCGACCCCAGAGGTCTGGACCCCTTCCCCGGGACCAGCTCTTCATCCCTCGAGTCGTTCCTTGCCGGTCCCGAGGCCCCGGAAAGGGCCCCCCGGAGGCCGACACGAGCGAGAAACCTCCCGTCGCAGTCTCCTCGCAACGCGAAGAGGCCTGGGCCCGAGACTTCCCCTCCGAGCCCCTTCGGCGTCGGAGCCCGTCGCTCTCGCGGCCGCTGACAGCGGGCCGCCGCCCCGGCAGCCGACTCTCCGCCGCGGCGTGGCGGGAGGTCGGCCCCGCACCGGCAGCCGCGCGGGCTCGGTCCCGAGGCGGCTGGGCGGCCGAGCCGGCGCAGGCGCCGAGCGGACTCGGAGGGGAACCCGCAGCTCGTCTCGTGGCGCCGTCGCCGAGGTCGCGATCGGCGCGGAGGCGTCGTGGTCGCCGTCGTCGTCGTCGTCGTCGTCGTCGTCGTCGTCGTCGTCGTCGTCGTCGTCGTCGTCGGCGTCGTCGGCCTCGTCGTGCTCGTGCTCGTCGTCGTCGTCGTCGTCGTCGTCGTCGTCGTCGTCGTCGTGGTCGTGGTCGTGGTGGTCGTTGTGGTCGTTGTCGTCGTGGTCGTGGTCGTTGTCGTCATGCTCATCGCACCGTCGGGAGAACAAGAATAGGAGAAGGAGAGGGGAGGACGGGGGGAGGAAAGGGAGGACGAGGAGGCGAATGGGAATGGGGGATGAGGGGGGGAATAGAAGGATAAGAACAAGGAGGAACGGGAGGAAAAGGAGGAAGAGGAGAAAGACACGCAGGAGGATACGTACAGTACTTTGAGGACGAGGAGAAGGGGCATGAGACGGAGGCGGACGCGGATGTTGCTGGTATGGCGAATCTGATGAGGCTGCTGATGATGGTGATGATGGTGACCATGACGATAATAATGATAACAATGCTGATGCTGATGATGACGGTATTCATGATGATGGCAATGGTGCTGATGATGCTGCTGATGATGATGGTGGCGATGGTGATAGCGATGGTGATGATGACGATGCTGCTGATGATGATCGCAACTATTATGATAACGGTGGTGATGACGACGATGATGACAATGATGATGCTGCTGCTGACGCTGAGGTGGACGAATACGGATTGGAATGATAGGTGAAAGGGAAGCTGGGATAATATGATGAAGGGGGGCGGAGGTAAGGATGCATCTTATAACTTACATCGACAGTGATTACGATATGCACATGTGACGACGATGATGCCAATGACGATGACGATGACGATGATGCTGCTGATGATGATGACGATGGTGATGGTGATGATCTAGTGATAATGACGATGCTGCCTGTGGTTGATGATGATGATGACGATGCTGATGCTGCTGCTGATGCTGATGATTGATGAGGTAGAGGAAGCGGTGGTGAAGGTTATGGGGCTAGGAGGCGAACAAAGGAGAGGGAGGACGGGAAAGCGATTGGGGATAGGGGGATAGAGGGAGCGAAGAGACGGAGAAAGAGGATTGGATAGGGAGCGAGGAAGAATAATCGATTTGGTATGAAGGAAGCGGTTCCTGAGGGAACCAGGCTCTGGATCCCAGGCCCTTCCCTGGGACCAACTCGTCGTCTCGAACCGTCTTTTTGAGCGGTCCCATGGCCCAAGGCCCTTGGGCGGCCCAGGGGGGCCAAACCAAATTCCTATCTCGAGTCGGTTCTTGACGTCCCCGCGGCCTGGCAGTGGACCGCGGAAGCCCCAAATTGCCAAACATCTTCCGCCGTGCTTTTTCGCGCAACGCGAGGAGGTGTGGTTTTCGGGTCATATCTCGGCACTCCGTCGGCATTCCGGGACGATTCGGGCACCCCTTCAGAACGCTCTCGACCAGGCGCAGCTTCTGGAGCGTATCCGGAATCGAAACAGCAGCAACCACGAGAGCAGCAACAACAACACCAACAACACCAACAACACCAACAACAACATCAACATATACAACAACATAAGCAGCAACAGCAGCAACAACAATATCAAACGACGACATCATCAACAACAACAGCAATCATTTTAAGACTGATCGCTCTTACTTGCACGAGTGTCCCTCATTTTGTATGCTCCAACCTTCGATGCCCGCCCACTTCCTCTTCAATCACATCCCCTTTTGGGGGGAATATCTTCCTTATCGGCCACTGGCTGAAGTGCGCGGAAGTCCCGAGCGAAAGCGCCGTTCCTGAGTTCGGGAGCCTCTCTAGCCAGAGCCTCTCGGAATACATCGTGAGGAAGCATCGAGCGGGAGCCCTTGTCATCGTGGCTGGGCCTCCACCAACCCGACTGAATTACGAGGAAGTCTCCAGCGAGAGTGCCGTTCCTGAGTTCGGGGGCCTCTCTGGCCAGGGCATCTCGGAATAAAACGTGAGGATATATCGAGCGGGAACCCCTGTCGTCGAATTTGGGCCGCCACGAGCTTGACTGAATTACGAAGTCTCGAGCGAGAACGCCGTTTCTGAGTTCGGGGGCCTCTCTGGCCAGGGTGTCTCGGGATACTTTGTGAGGAAGTATCAAGCGAGAACCGTTGTCGTCGTAGCCGGGCCTTCACAGGAACATATTTACAATCAAACCTGCGCTCGAGAGGGAGCGTCGCTTTCAGAAGAATTGCAACCGGCGTCAATGCGAGAGGGCGCGGAATTGTTTCCGGAGATCAGCAATACTCATTCTCTCGAAGTGAGTATTCCACAACAATATCAACCTCCGAGCAGCCCCCCGAAGATATCCGGAGGGGAGGTGGGGAGGGAGAGGAAGGGGGGGGAGGGGGAGAGAAGGAGGGGGAGGTGGGGATGAGGGGCAGGAGGAGGCCTCGGGGCAACGAGGTGGAGGTGGAGGGCGGGGGGGGCGCAGCGGACGGGAAGGGGGGGGGGCCGGACGGCGGGCTCTGGGCGCGGGGCCATGGCGCTGTTCGTGAGGTCGAACGCCTGGGTCCTCCTCGCCTCGTCGTCGTGCTCCTCGGCGGGCGCCCTCGTCCTCCTGCCTCCCACCTCCTCCTTCTCCTCCGCCTCGTTTGCCTCCTCCTCCTATCTTCCTCCTCCTCCTCCTCCTCCTCCTCCTTCGTCCCTCCTCCTCCCTCTTCCCTCCTCCCTCTTCCTCCCTCCCCCTGCTTCACGAGCGGCGACTTGGGGCCGCAAACATGGTAATCCCGCGACGCCGCCCACGGAATGCACCAATCTAACCTGTGCCCCCTCGCCAAACTCCCACCAAATAGCAGCCCGGGCTAACCGCGGTTTGGTTTTGCCCACGGAACCCTCCGGACGGGCTCCGGCCCAGCTGAAGCTCGCGGCATTGCTCTGTGTCCTCCGCTCGAGCGACGGGCTCAGACCGGTTGTTTTGTCCTCGCACTTCCTCGTGGCTGGAAGTCGCTGGGCCAAGCTCGGCGAATGGGGGTGTCGCACTTGCCATGATTCGGCATCGGATTCAGCAAAACGCTTCGGGCTTTCACTCCCTGATGTCGCCCTGACAACCTGCCTTGAGGCTGGTCCCGTTGGCGATCTGCAAGCTTGTTCTCGCGTGCTTGCTCCTGGCAGTTTCTGCTGCTGCAATTGGCGACTCCATGGGTGTTCATCTTCCTCAAGTATCGTCCACGTGCGAGTGTAGTACTGCTGGCGCCTGGATCTCATGCGCTCCCATGGATTGCTTCTGCTGCTACGGTGGGTGGACAAAAAGTGTCCACACCCATCGCGCCAAAATGATTCGACACCGAACAACGGGGGGGCGAACAACATGTACATTGCAAATGTCGTTGCCATCGTCCCTGATGGTCTTCGCGCCGTGGGCGTGGGCACTTTTTGTCTGGGTGCCGTAGTTGACGAAATGTCACGTGTTGGCGCGCGTTCATCAGACATTGGTAGGGAAACTAACTCAATACACCAGCGCTGACTTCCGACCCTGCGCTGGAATTCGCATAGGAACGCGGATCCTGGTGCCGTACGGGATCCAGGTGAATATCTTTTTCGTTGTTTCCCTTGGAAAACGGGGTAAAAAAATATGCACCACACCACCCCGACGTCGTCCCCGACCCTGGAGAAGTCGTGAGATGGAAAAAACAGGCCGCTGGGATGATCGCTGGGCTCGCTGGGCTCGAAGCCACGCGCGCCGCAGCAGCGCTCCGAACGCCACCCTCCGCGAGCCGAGGCGCGCGGCCCCGGGCTGGCCGGGGCTCTGGGGACCCCCTCGCCATCGCTCGGACGTCCATTCCCTGTGCCTTTTCCGGTTTCGTGCGTGGCTTTTTCGCCAAATGATCAAGGATGCTCCTCGATGGTGCTCGCCGAGGAACAAAAACGCACACGTCCGAGCGATGCCGAGCCCCGGGCGAAGGCAGGGAGAGCACGCACGCCCCGCGCAGCGAGCCCACCCCTTCTAAGGTGGGGTGGTCGTGCAGCCGGCAGGTCTCGGAGAGGCACGACCCGCGCAGAGCGGATCGCTCGGCGCGACGGGCCGCCTCGGCGCCCAGCCGGAGAAAGCCACGGCGCGAATCAGAACTCTCGGCCGCCGTGCTGCGAAACGCGTGGTGCGAGCAACGGTAAGAGGGCGTGCCCCTCTACAGGAGGGATGTTTTTTTTTTTGGTTTTTGTGTAAGGTAGTCTGGGGACGATTGTACTATTCGTTGCCTATTTTTGAATATTGTTTGAATCGTTTTCCTTCGATTCGGTAGAGGGAAACAATTGCTGAACACCCCCCTCCCCCCAAACTCAAAGTTGGGACGCGCGGGGAAGACTGCGGTCGAGGTGCAACTCATCAGACCCACCGCCACCTTTGAACATTGGGGGGAGGGGAGGCGTTGATAGATGAACGTGGCATGAACGTTCGCTATGTTTGCCGAGGCCTGAATGGCTGCCCTGACTCTCGGGAGATCTGGATTTTATGGTTTGTTGTGCGGTATCGCCACTGTCTGCGTCATCATGGCGATGTCATCGTCATCCTGCTCGCCCCGCTGTCGGTCGTGATCTTCGTGCGAACCTGCCAGCAGCTGGCTGTCCTGATGCCAAGCTCGTGAATGGCATCCAATCTCGCATTCGGCTGATCAGTTGTTAGAGCTGCTTCGCCCTATCTTTCCTGTTCACCAAGGTGGAGCCCTGCTCGCTGCAGTCTTTGCTGGTGGCTGATCATGTTGATGACCCGGCTGTTTCTACCCCTGTGTTTCTCTGAGTAAGTGCGCTGGTGGAGACTGCCCCCCCTGGATGTGCCGCGCGCCAAGCGTCGCGGCGCGCTTCTTCAGCCGCTGACCTGGCAAGATCAAGAAGCGTCGCCAGTTGAATGCTCGATCTGAGCGGGCGAAACACTTGCCCTGCGAGGGGGCGTCTCGTCATCATCGCCACGGCGGAGTCCCAGATCGCATGCCCCCAGTCCTTCGCGAGGCCCCCCAAGGAGTTGTTCTCTGAGCCCCGTGCGCCTACAGCTGAACATGTCTGATGCCCATCCAACGGCTGAGCGATGGTCGCAGAGACCGATGCAGCATCCCTGCCGTCGGCCTGGCAGCGCGCCGACGGGTTGAAACACGGCGCCCAGAGGGGCGGGCCATCACTCGCGGCGCGCTGGCGCCCCGACGAGCGGGCCACTGCCGGACTCACTTGCGCTGGCGCCCCGATGAGCGGGCCGCAAGAGATCGGGCCACTGTCAGGCTCCTCCGCTCCCGTGTGGTCCTTACAGCTGTTCCGTTCGCGCGGAGTCTCACGTTCCTCGGCGTCTGCCGGGGCCCCGGTGATCGGGCCACTGCCCGGCGTTGCTGTCCGTGGCTGATTGGAGAGGTGCAAGCGTGATTCAAGATGGTCCTCCTGCTTGGCGTGACATCTTGACGTGGGAAGGGGCGCGGATGGATGGCCGTTGCATCTTTGAGCCAATTTTGCTTGGTCCAAGTATCCTGACAGCAGCGATGATGCAGCCGAACCGCCAGCCATCGCCACTGGCAAATATATCCGTAGGACAAGAGGGAGCACCCTATGGAAGATGGAAGAAGGATATGACCATGCTTACGGAAGAAGAAGAAGAACCAGCAGCCCTCGAAGCGTCTCCCGTTGGCTTCCACCCAGAAGCAGTTTTTACACCAACAGGAGGGTCGAGTGGATCCCATGCCCAGCACGGCCGATATGTTCACGTCCCAGCTACAGCCAACGGCCACACAACCAGCATCCACACAGGAGTACATGCAGTATTTGCAAACGGCCCAAACTCAAATCCAAGCTGCATAATTGGCGGCGGAACATGCATTTGGGAAGGAATCGATCATGGTTGCAGCAAGCCGAGACCAAGCAGCTCTACTCATGCGTGGAAGCTGCCAGGAAGGCGTCATCTGCACCACTGGAGGCATCGGTGGTGGAGGTGGTGGGACTGGCTGGCCCTTCCCCAGCCCCTTTCGCAGCCTGCATGTACGACTCCTGGGGCATCTGTAATTGCACTTCCGCCGCCTGCTGCTGCTGAAGCTGTGCCGAGTACGCCAAACCACCAATCATCTTCCCAATCACGCAGTGCTGTAGGGCAGCCGCTACTGCGCTTAGTGGCCCCACTCCCCTGACAACGTCGCCCAAGGTCCTGCCATTATGACAGGCTGCCTAGGGCTGGAAGCTGAGCTGGCTTCGATATCCTTTATCGCCGCTTGGGGTTCCTCCTTCTATAGCAACTGTTCGAATTCCGTCTCCAAATCTAACAGCTGCTGTTCGGCATCCGCTTTGGAGTCATTGGGCTTTGCAATCTGGTCCGCGATCTTGTCGATCTTGATTGCTGGTTCCTGCTCTTGTTTCCTTCTGCGCAGCCTTCTCGTCTCTAGCGGTTCCCAAAGTACCACCTACAATTTTGCCATTGCCAGCTGCTCAATTGAGTCTAGGTCGGCTGTTCCTGAAGCTCTGTTCGCCAAGACGAGTGTCGCGAGTACCCAATGGCCTTCTGGATACCCCTCTTGTAACCCTCAAGCTGGCTCTGAGATTCTGGTGGCTGCTTCTGGGCTACGGCCACCGCTGGGAGCTTTGCAGGGGTCGTGTCTATGAGCTGCCGCTGAGCTTTTTGAGGAGACATTGCCGCGCTCTTGCGTTGCTGTCGCTCATCTCGTCGCAATCGGGAAGGCTGCCTGCGGCATGGCTGCCTTGGCCGTCTTTCCCGTCTGTTTTTCTGAACGGGGCACGAGCCTGCTATCTGCGACCACGCACCTGCTTGCCACACCCGCTGCACTGCCATGCGCCTGGCATGAAGTGAAAAGGCAACGGATGGTACAGTTGCCTGTCAGGACGGGCGGTCCAGGGAGACAGGGATGGCGTGGGAAAGGGGCTCTTGGCTGTGCCCCTCTCCTGCGATCAACTTGAAGCCGTCGGGGCAACGGATCCAATTTGAGTCCAAATGGCTACGGACGGCCCTCCTCCTCCTCCTCCTCCTCCTTTCCGCCTCACTTGCCCTCCTTCTTCCACCCTCGCCTTCCTCTTCGTCCTCCTTCATCCTGCGCCCTCTGCAATACCGCCTCCCTCCTCCCTCATCCTCCTCGTGAGTCTTCCTTCCTCCATCTCACTTTGTATGTCTTCTTCCTCTCCCATATCCCTCCTGATCCGTCCTCGCTGGTGCTCTTCCTCCTCCTCCTCTTCCTCGTCCCTCTTCTCCTACATTTCTCCATTCTCAAACATCCCTCCTCCCTCCGTTATCACTATCTCTTCGCCTCCTTCCTCCACTTCTTGCCACGTCCCTCTTCCCTCCCCTATCCAGGTCCATTATGATCCCTCCTTCTCCTCCCCTGATTATTTGTTCCTCCGTCCTTCCACTTCCTCGTCCTCCTCCTCCTCCTCCTCTTGATCTTCCTTCGTCTGCCGGAAAGTATTCATCCCTCTGTCTTCCTCCTCACCCTCCTCCTCCTTACCCTTCTCCTCCTTCTCTTCCTCCTTACCGTCCTCCTCCTGGTCCTCCTTACCATTGTCCCTCCGTCTTCTCCTCCTCCTCCTCCTTTTCCGCCTTCTCCTCCTCCTCCTCATTATCATCCTTCCTGACTCCCCTTCCTTTTCTCCTCCATCCCACCACCCCGTCCTCCTTTTTCTTTCTCCATGCTCCCTTCGTTTCTGCTCCCACTTCTCCTTCCCCATCGACCTCGTGATCCATCCTGATGCTTCCTCCTTGTCTCCTCCTCCAAGCTAGAACAGGAGGGGGCAAGCAGAGGAGGCCCGTCATCGAGCTCCTTGAAGGCCACAACCCCGCCCAGCAGCATCGCGATGGTGTATTGCCCCTGGAAGAACAGCAACTGCAACACCTCCATCGGGAACTTCCGCCTCGCAAAGACGATGAAGTTGTCGAGCACCGGCTGCAGGTGCGTGTCCAACATCACCCTCTCGGTCTCCTCTCCTCGGGGCGCGCTCTGCGGTCCGGAGGCGGAAGGGTGCAGCGGCGATCAGGGCACCCCTTGAGCCCCAAAGGGCGCTCATGACGACCTCGGCCCTCCTCGGTCATCGGCATCATCCTCTCCCTCCCCCCTCCTCCTCCTCCTCCGCCTCCTCCTCCTCCTCCTCCTCCTCCTCCTCCTCCTCCTCCTCCTCCTCCTCCCCTTCCTCCCCGGAGTGGAGAGAAAAGGGGTCCTGGTTGCAAAGGGTCCTGGTCCCCAGGGCTTGCCCCCAAGACCAGCTCAGCATCCCGGGCCCCAGAGCCCGGGGAGGGCCCCAGGGGTCCGAGGGCAGCCCGCCGCGCGCCCCGCAGGCCTCGACCCCCTCCCCTGCAGGTATTGCTTGTCCTTCGTCCTGGACGTCCGCCACCGTGCCTGTGCGATGTGGGCGTGCTACAGTCGGGGGCTTGACCTAAGGAACCCAAGATAAGGAACGAGGCCCCTTTTTTCCAGGAGTTGAACTTCGATTTCCGATAGAGAACAGACGGAAAACCTGAGGCAAGCTGCGAAACACTTAAGGAACGCGGAGCCCCGCCCCAACGAAAAGGGTTCCTTCTTCAGGGCCCCGACTGTAGGACGCCAAGTGCTGCTCTGCAGAGTTTCTGCATTCTGATACGGCCCCCCCCTAGTCGCAGACGGGCGCATGCATCACACAAAACGATCCCTCGACAAAAGAAGATGCGTCCGCGTCTCGAGCTTCCAAGGCTGCCCAGGGTGGCAACCAAGGCAACCAGGATTGCCCAAGATGCCTCGAAGACGGGCCAAGATGGCCCCAAGGCGGCCGAATACGGCTTCAAGACGGCCTACGATGACTCCAACACGGCCCCAAGAGGACCTCTAACAGGGACCGAAGAAACCAACATCATTGATGTTCTGTGTCTAGGTGTTTTTTGTGAGGAAAATTGATGTTCGCATTCTCGCCTTCTCGAGCTTCCGTCAACTCAAGACGGCCCAAGAAGCCTCCACGATGACCCTGAGACGGCCAAATAGGCTTCCCTCCACAAGGGTCCACAGATGGCCCAAAAGGACCCCAAGAAGGCCCAAGAAGCGCCCAATACGGCCTCCCGTGCGACAAGAGACGGCCTTAGAAGGCTCTTCGACTTCCCAAGACGGCGCCAAGGTGGCCCCACGGCGGCCCCCAGGCACCCACCATGCAGGCAAGAGGGCCCCAAGACGGTCCAAGAGAGCCCCACGACGACCTAAGATGGCCCAAACGGACCAAGAGGGCCCGTAGGGACCACCAAGATTGCCTCACAGGAGGCCAGAAAGGCCCCAAGCTCCTGCTCCTCCTCCTGCTCCAGCTCCTTCTCCTCCGTCTCGTCTTCCTTTTTCTCCTCCTCCTCAGCATCCCTACCATCGCCGCCACCATCAACAACATCATCAACAGCAGCATCATCATCGCCATCATCAGCATCCTCATCCTCATCCTCATCCTCATCCTCATCCTCATTATCATCAGCATCATCATTATCATAAGCATCATGTGTACCACCATCAGTATCATCACCATCATTATGAACAGCATTATCATCATCGGTATCATCATCACCAGCACCATCATCACCACCATAACCATCACAATGACCATACTCATCCTCGTCATTATCATCACCACCACAATCATCATCAGCATCAGCACCAGTATCAGCATGCGCATGAACATGATCATCAGCGTCAGCGTCGGCAGTTTCACCATCACCATCGCCACCACCACCACCATCACCAGTATCATCAAAATCACCATCATCATCACCATCACCACCATCACCATTATCACCATTATCACCATCATAAACATCATAATCATCATTCCCAGCATCACCACCACCATCACCATCATCATCACCATGACCATGACCATGACCATGACCATGACGATGACCATGACTATCACCATCACCAGCATCATCATCATGACGAGCACCATCACAATCATCATCACCACCACCGCCATCATCATCATCAGCATCATCATCATCATCATCATCATCATCATCATCATCATTATCATTATCAGCATCATCATCGTTATTACCATCATCATCACCACCATATTTATCTGTATATGTATACCTGTATTTATATATAGGCATACACACCTTTATTGTCATCACCATCATCATCGCCATCATCATTAGCATCATCGCCATCATCTTCCTCCTCATCATCATCATCACCAGAACCAGCAGCAACAACACCAGCAACCTCATCACGGATCTCCCAAGCCTGGAGACACCACTTGTCACACGTGACGGCCTCCCGTGCCCCCTCGAACAATCGCCTCCCAAAATGCTGGGCTGGCACGGTGGCGGGACTTGTCGCAAGCAACTGGATATTTCTCTCGGACCGGAGAAGGGTCCAGCGGCAGAAATACGTCGCCATGAGACAACGTTCTCGAGATCGGAATCGCACCAAATCCGAGCCCAAACGTGGCTTGGGTAAGAAACAAAACGGCGGGTGGGGAGAAAAGGCATGCTTCCAAAGATCAGCAAAACAAGACACATCGAGCCATGGAAAGTGGGACCCCGGGGCACGCATCACTGGCCCTGGAAGCGAAACGTAAGAAAAACGACGTCACTTCACAAAAAGCACCCCGTCCGAAGCCTGAGGAGGTTCGGATGCGACTCCTGGGAAATTCCACTTTCGGCGTCGTCGCTGCCATATCCGCGGTCGGAAGCCGTCCCACTCCCTCCTAGTCCCGTTCAATCTGGTTGAGTCCTACAAGATCTGGCGTAATCCTGGGTTTACTCTGGCTCGATGGTCCTGTAATCAGCCTGACTCGAGGAGCGACAAGCTGCGTAACCATAGGTTTTCGGACGTCAGTGCGGATTTCATGGATCGGCGCCAACCTCCCTGCATGGCGCGCGGATAGAGCCAGGGGGGCCCCAGCGCGGATCCAAGAAATCCGCGCGGGCCTCCAAAAGCGTATGCTCATACACGTGTTCCTTCTTCGGCTAACCGCCCTCCATCGTTCACACGAATCCTATCATGACCAACTTTTCGTCTTGAGTCGTTTGCGGGGGCTCCGCGGGCCCGTGGAAGGCCCAAAGAATCCCAAAACGGTGAACAGCCTTGGGACCCGCTGCCCTCAGGGACACGTCTGCCCCTTGAACCTTCGCTCTCGGCCAGTTCCGAGGGAGGAAAACAGCACTCTTAGGTCTCACAGAGGGGTGAGAGGTCACGGCGGAGCATCGGCAGGAAGGGAGAGGGACCGGGATAAATGGCGGACTGGCGGCGGCGGTGGGTAGCCTGAGCGTGGAGCCTTCCTCCTCCTCCTCCTCCTCCTCCTCCTCCTCCTCTTCCTCCTCCTCCTCTTCCTCCTCTTCCTTCTCGAGTGCTTCACCGATGACCGCATCATCAAGGACGATGGGGTTCGGTACTCTTTACATGCTATCAGCGAGCCCAGTAATCTTCCTGGATTCTCGACGTCCTCCTCCTCCCCCTCCTCCATTTTTCAACATGGACGAGAAGGGGAGGTATCAAGTGGGATGAGAGAACCAGCTGCGTGCAGCTGGTTCGCCCAGCGCCGCCCGCCGCTGGAGGCAGTCATGTATCGAGGGACATGCGCCTGGCGGCGGGGCCGAAACCAAGTGCACGCAGCACTTTTTGTACCCCTCCTTTCCCAATCACCCTGTTCCGTCCGACCCAAATGCTCCTCGCCGTCTGGTTCGGGTCACAACTCGGGGTCTCCGGCAACCGTTCGGGACGATCCGGGCACCTCCAGAACGCTCCTGGCGAGGCGCAGCTGCTTGCGAGCACTCCGGGGCTGGAGGATCGCCGAGAACCAGCGAAAACGCCGGGAACCCCTCCCGCCCTGCCCGCCAGCCTTCCCATCTCCTCGTTCCAGCTCCCATTCCTCGTCCGTCTCCCTCTGCACCCTTCTCCCTCCTCCTCTTTCCTCCTATTCCTCCTATTCCTCCTCCTCCTCCTCCTCTTCCTCTCCCTCCCTCCCTCCCTCCCTCGTCTCGTCCTCTCCCTCTGCAACCTCCGCCTCCCTCCTCCCTGCTTCCTGCTTGAGTCCCCGTGGGGCCCGCTTCGCCCGCCCCCTCCTGGCCCTCCCGGAGCGGAGGGGAGGGGGCCCCCCGGCCCGCGGCCCCCTGGCGCGAGGCCCCGGGCGTGGGCCCGCGCAGGCGCGGCGGCGGCCCTCCTCCGTAGAAGCTGATGCCCTCGGCGAAGGTCTGCACGCGCGAGTGCGCGGCGCGGAAGGCGCCCTCGCTCGCCTGGCGGCGGCGGCGGGGCGCCCTCCTGCAGGAGGCCCCTCGGGGCTGGAGGAGCGAGCCTCGAGGGTCTGCAGTCGACTAGACGTAAGAGTGACCCTTCGCAGGAGTGACCTGTGGTGCGGGCACAGATAGATCCCCACATGGCTGAAAACGAAGCAGTAGCAGCTGGTTGCGCGCCCAGATTTGGTCCCCCCCGCGGCCCCCAAAAAGCCGCGCACCAAAGGTCACTCTTACCCAGGGTCACTCTTGCGTATAGCCGATGCAGGCCCTGGGGCGTCCGAAGGGGGGCCTTCCTTCTGCCTCCCGGGGTCGCCTCGTCGCCACGGCGGGGTTTCTTCTCGGGCGTGTGGCCAGAGCGCTCCCGGGGACGGGTCCTGGGGGCCATGTGTCGGACCTCCGGGTGCAGACGTCTGGCTGCTGGGAAGGGGAACAATCAAGGGGCCCAAGGACACACAAAGAAATACACACAAATAAATGGATTGCCCATGTTTTCCAACATTTTTTGGGTTTTTTGTCTTCCCCCCCCCACTTCCCATATTTTCCCATATTTCCTTAGGAATCGACGATTAATTGTGTCTGTGTGTTTTTTCCCTCCTGAAACAAGGCGGCCAGTGTTTCCCCATTCGAGCGGCACGAGAGCGACGATCTCGCGCACGACGACGCGGCGACCTCACGCGCGAAGGCTTGCGCAAGCCGCCATCGCGCGGCACACCCAGTCGGTGGGCGTTTTTACGCGCGGCCTCACGCGGGCGGCTCGCGCGCGAATGCCCGCGCCGTCGACGCCTGGTCCAAAACTGCCGCAGAAGCACAGGAGGGGGGGAAGAGAAGCAGAGGGCAAGAGGACAGCACATGCATGGGGCCAGCGGGCTTCCCCTTCCACAGGCAGCGCTCTTCTGTCCTCGCTCATCTGGGGCCTTCGGAGGCCCGTTTCGGGTTTCGGCCCCAGTGGCAAGCAGAGGCGACTCAGGATGGGAAGCCGCCGGCCCAGAGGAACGAGTCGAGATGTCCGGGGCGCCCCATGCCTCGGAACGTTCAGGGCGCTGGACGCCTGCCCTCCTCCTCCTCGTCTCGGGGCTTCGGGCGAGGGCCCCCTCGTCGCCATGAGGTGGCCAAAGAGCTCGTGGAGAACACGCCGGGGTGGTGATCGGGATCGCTCCCCAAGCGGTGCCTGCACCAAGGAGCCTCTGCCTCGGAGGAGGAGGAGGAGGAGCTCTTGCCTGTATCAGCTTGCCCAAATGTCGCCTGGCGCCTGGCTGGTGTTCCGCCCCCGGGCGCCTCGTGTGGGCGCCCCCTCTCGCTGGGTGGGTGCGCCCGGGGCTTCGCCTGGTGCTCGGTTGGCGGTCGCCCGTGGGCGTCGCGTGGGCACCCCGTGCGTTGGGTGCACCACGCAGTGCTCGCACCGCATGGCTTGCACTGCACAGATTGCATCTCGTGGCTTGCGAAACACACGCACACACAATGCACAGCATCGGTCGCAGCACATCGCTTGCGGCACGCATTTTCTAGGCACATGTTTGCACCACACAGATTTCACCACGTAGCTTGCACCACATGGCTCGTGTCACAAAGCCTGCACTGCAGTACTGCTACCACATAGCTTGCACCTCAGAACTTGCAACACATAGCTGGTACCATGCACAGACCGCATGACATAGCGTGCGACACATTTGGTGCACATCGAGTGCGCCATATCCTAATAATTCGGGTACGCGCTGGCTTATATGTTCAAGCAACATACCATTGTTTACAAGTTACACGTGTGCCAAACTCAATGAAGATTGCCAGCTCCCCAGCCGATGGGAAGGGAACTCCTCTGTGCTAAAACTGGCCAGAGACGATGAGGAGTTCGGCTTTGAGCGGTCTGGGGGTCGGCTTGGAGCGGGTGTCCGAGGCGCCGCGAAGGACTCGCAACGTGAGTACTCAATCATCTCCTCTCCGCGGCTGCGGCGTCCGCGGGGGCCGCTCTCGGCCCTGAAACCCGCAATCAGACAGCCACCAGTGGCGAGCACTTCGCCGTGGGGATGCGGCCAATTCCTGCCATGACGCCTTCGGCGCTGTCTGCGGACGCCCGCATGGATCGTTCAACCTCGGAGCGGCTGCGGCTTCCCGACAAGCGCAGGTCGTTCGACGTCGGCAGGTTCCGGGCCACTGGAGGCGGTCAACCCTGAACGCCCGCGCGTCGACACGACCCGGACCCCCGACGTCGTGATGTGTGTACAACGTCGACCCCCAGAGGTCTGGACCCCGTTCATCCCGAGTCGTCTTTTGACGGTCCCGAGGCCTGGGAAGAGCCCCCGGAGGCCGAAGATGGCGAAACGCCTCCCGTCGTGATTTTGTTTCCCAACACGAGGGGGTCTGGGAACCTACCGCCTACCGCATGGTCGAGGAGAATTTCGGGGCCCGCGTCGCGTCGTAACGAAAACCACCCTGCCGGAGGTCTGGTAATTACACGGCGGCGCCTCCGCTGCCGCGCTTCTCGCAGCGGTCGCAGGTCTCTTGTCATCGCCCCCCCATTAGCGAAGCTGCAGCGAGGGCACCCGCCCGTGGAAGAACGGGCGCTTGGCTTCGCCTTCCCAGACCTCATCGTGTTGTGAAAAACGACGGGGGATTTTTCACTATTTTCGCCCTCCGGGGGCCCTTCCCAGCCCTCGGGACCGTCAAAACACGAATCAGGCTGAAAAACAGTTTGTGAGCCCCAGGCGCCCAGGGCACCACAGTGCGTGCGCGAAATGCCCAGGGCTCCGCAAGGAGCTGCGCGGCGGCGATGTGCGACAGACGGGACTGGTACGGAGCGCGAAACGGTTGGAATGCCCGGTGCCCCACGCGGCGGCGATGGCGGCGCCATGCGATCCTCAGGGCCAGTGGGGAGCGCGAGGTGTGCGGAATGCCCAAGACCCCGCGCAAGCGCGCGACGGCGGCAAAGTGTGGCCCTCAAGTCTGTGGCAACGGCCCGTGAGCTGCCGCCAAGGGTACGTCCCTGAACAACGCCGCTAGCCAAGTCGCGCATCCAACTCTAGGGGAGCGGGGGAGGGGTGTGTGTGATGGAGGAGGAAGACCCTGTGAGAGGGAAGAAGGTGCTGATGGTGATGATGGTGCTGCTGCTGAAGATTTCAATGATGATGGTGGTGATGATGAAGATGCTGATTATGTTAATGATGATTGAGCTGGTGACGATGATACTTATTGCTATGACGCTGATCATGGTAATGATGCTGATGCACATGGTTATGATGATGCTGATGTCGATGATATTGCTGATGAGGATGATGATACTGATGATGCTGGTGATGATGGGCTTGATCGTGACGATGTGTTTATTCATAGGGGGCGGATGCTGATAGTGATGATGGTGATGATGAAGATGACGACGACGACGACGACGATGATGATGATGATGATGATGATGATGATGATGATGATTATGATGCTGATGATGATGATGATGATGATGATGATGATGATGATGATGATGATGATTATGATGATTGTGATGCTGCTGCTGATGGTGATGCTGATGACGATGCTGAGGTGATACGGCTGATAATGATGATGATGATGATGATTATGACGATAATGATGATGCTGATGGGGATGCTGATGATGATGATGATGATGATGATGATGATGATGATGATGATGATGATGATGATGCTGATGGCGATGATGATGATGATCATGCTGATGATGAGGATGATGATGAGGATGATGACGGTGATTATTACGACGAGGCTGCTGCTGATGATGATGCTGATGATGTCGACGGGGATGAAGATGCTGCTGCTGCTGATGATGCCGACAGGGAGGAGGAGGAGGGGAGAGGAGGAGGAGGAGGAGGAGGGAGGAGGAGGAGGAGGAGGAGGAGGAGAGGAGGAGGAGGAGGAGGAGGAGGAGGAGGAGGAGGAGGAGGAGGAGGAGGAGGAGGAGGAGGAGGAGGAGGGGGATGCCGAGGGGAGAGAGGATGATGCTGCTGCTGATGATGATGATGATGGTACTGATGATGATTGTGGTGGTGGCGGTGATGATGCTGCTGCTGATGATGATGATGATGATGTTTTTGTTTGTTGTTGATGATGATGGTGATGTCGATGGTGAAAATGCAGCTGCTGCTGCTGCTCATGATGATGATGATCTGATGAAGAAGATAATGCTGCTGCTGCTAATGCTGATAATGCTGATGACGATGATGATGATATAGAAGAGAAAGAAGTCGACGGGGGTGGGGATGAGGGAGCTGATCATGTTTTCTATGAAGATGGCGATGGTGCGGAGGAGAATGAGGAGCAGAGGGAGAGAAGAGGGAGGATAGAGAAGGGGCGCTGGGGGAGGAGCAGGAAGAGGGGAAGGAAGGAATGATGAGCAGCAGATCGCTGTAGAAACCAATCGCTGCCCTGGCCTGCAGCTCTGCTTGGGCTTCGCCGCAACGCTGACCCAGGCGGTCCACAAGGTACATCCCGACCGCGAACAGGGAGAACGCCAGCCCTGGAGCATGCGGCCCCCTATCTGTGCCGACTCTCCCGCCTCCCTTCCCTCGGCCGCTTCCCTTCCCCCCCGTCCTCCTCTGCATCGCTCCTTCGTCCTCTCTGCGTCTCTCTTGCCCTCCATCCCCTCCTTTCCCTGCGAGAGGGGAGGGCGGGGGGGTGGGGGGTGGATGGCGCAGGGGGACAGGAAAGGGAGGCGCATGGGAGAAGAGGGGGAGCAAGGGGAGAGAAAGGAGCGGGGGAGGGAACGGTAAGAGGGAGGAAGGGGTGAGAGGACTGGGGGTCTCCGGAAGGCGTTCGGAGGCCCCTTCGGCCAGTTCGCTCTCCTCATCGCTTTGGGGCCGTTCCCTTCCTCTCGGGCGAGGGAGCTTCTCGGGTGGAGCCGGGAAGCGATCTCCTTCGCACTGTACACCCCTGCTTAGAGTTAGAAGCCACTTAGGCTAAGAAACTGGACTTCACGCCAAGCCTTTTCTTAGACAGCGGTCCAGGTCCAGACATGCGAGCACTTCTACGAAGAAAGAAGCTCCAAGAGAACGCCCAGGGTCCAGTCCAGAGTCTTGGTTCTCTGAAAGGGAAATCTGGAGTCCATGAAGGTTGGCACTTTTTCCTGAACATTCCTGATGGGTGTAGTGCAATTCAGGCATCTCGCTTGGTCTCTCCTGGTTCCCTGTGGAGTGACCCGCTTCCCGCCCGGAGAACACTGACGTCCTGTCTAGCTGGTGGTACCTTCCAGAGCTCAAGCAGCTAAGTACAGTAGGGGCCCGACCACGAGAAACCTTCCACAAGACACCCAACCCTGAGACCCCAGGACGTCCATCGGTCTGTTGTGTCTGGGGGAGCGGAACGCCCCCCGTCGCAAAGCCGTCGACGCCCGGTGTGGAAACGACGCGCCCTCCATCGCACAGACCATCGAAGCCCGAGAACCCCGGGGGCACCCGGGAGGCGAGCAGGGTGCTGCTCGGCCTAGGCCTCCACTGCACCTGCCCTCCCCCGGCCAGGGCGCTGCCCGCTGTGCGCCCCGGGCCGAGGCGCCGCCCTCCACGCCCTTCCGCGGGCCCCCCAGGGGCCCCCCGGGGCCTCCGGGGAGCTTTGCTCCCCGGAAGCCGCGGGGGGCCTCCCTGGACATCCTGGCGGGACACTGGCCTTGGGCCAGGGGCACTTTTTGGCACCACCCCGCCCAGGGCCCCTTCGGCTCGGCGGCGGGCGAGGAAGGGTGGGCGTGATTCAGGGGGGAAGGCCTTCTCTCAGCCTCCGGGAGTCCCCCCGGCCTTCTGCTGAGAAGCGCGCTGGGCCTTCCCCGAAGACAGAGAGAAACATTTCTCGGAAGGCGAGAAGGCTTCTGAGAAGAGGTTCCGCCGTCTTCTGAGATCTCCTCCTCGCTCCCCTCCCCCCCCCGCGCGCCGCCGATCGGCAGCACACGCAGTAGCGACCCCGTGCTGGAGGGACCTGTGAAGAGTGCCTCTCGGGGGGCCCAGGGAGCGAAGGGCCACTCCTGCGAGTAATTTTATGTCGGGCGTGTCCCCCTACAGGGGGATTTTCGACGAATAATAGAAAATACCCCCAAAATGCCCCGAAAAGGTAAAACAAATTAAGAAAATAGTCCCCAGACTATGTTTGGACTATTTTTGAATATTCCCCCTGTAGAGGGACAGGCCCGACTTAAGAGTAATTCGCCGACCCCCCAACGGAGACGGGATCTCCTGGCGCCAGGCCGCCCTGACCGGGGCTCATCTGCTCAACGTCGAGCCACACGATCAGGCAGCTGACCACGAAGACGCTGCTCTTGAAGAGCACGCCTGGAGGCCCAGCAACCAGCACGACCATGAGCTTCCCGAGGCCCGCCGACGGTCTTCCCCGCTGGCGCTGGACGGTCTGTTGGACTAAGCGGGCCCTGAGAACGACCAGACACTTATTTTACGGCTTCGTTTTGCACTTTTCTGGTCGGTCCTACCGCCGTTTTCATCTCGGTTCCGTCGCCGTGTTTTGTTTTTCCGGCCCTGGTTCCAGCTCCAATCCTGGAGAGCAGGATTTTACCACTTCGAGTGTGCGTATGTTTTACCATCTTCGTGTTCCAGAAACACCTTCTCGAAAAAGACAGAATTTCGGACAAACCTAGAATCGAGACTAATCCGTTCTGGAGCGTTCCAGTACGCTCTCAGAGCCTTCCAGAACGCTCTGAAACTTCCGCGGTGCCCGATACATCCCCCGAATCCGACGATTCGGATCGATTTTCGATTTATCTCGGCCCGAACTTGTCTCGATTTTGCCTTCGTCGTGAAATCAACGGCCGCAGGTTAGGTCGGGCATGTCCTCCTACAGGCGGATTTTGGAAGAATAATGAAATACAGTCAGAGCATCGTCAAAACTAGTCACAAAATATCAGAATCGTCGCCCGATTTTTTGTTGACCAATCTTGAATCTTCCTCCTGTAGAGGGACACGCCCGACTTACTGCCAGGGCCGAGTGTAAGGCCGGACCCTCCTCCCCCGCCACCTGGGGGGCGGCGCCCTCTGCCATGTCCCCTCCCAGGCGGGGAGGCGGGTACTTCTCTCGGCGGCGAGCCCCGGGGAGGAAGCTCGGGGAGGACCGCTCGAGGCCTCCTCGATGGGGTCGGAGCAGATGGGGTCGGAGGATCGCGCCGTATCGCCGATACCTCGGCGATGCATCGGCGGTGCATCGGCGATGCATCGGCGACGCATCGCGATCCGCGCCGGGCCCCCCCCACGACGGCGCCTCCGGCGCCGCCCCTGGCGCGCGGAGCGCGCCAGGGAGGGGGGTCCGACGCAGATCCAAGAAATCCGCGCGGAGCGCCACGGAAGTCCGCGCACCCCGCGCGCACCGCGCGAAGGGCAGGGGGGGAGGAGGAGGGGGGGGGGGGGAGGAGGAGGAGGAGGAGAGGAGGAGGAGGAGGAGTAGGAGGGAGGAGAGGAGGAGGGAGGAGGAGGAGGAGGAGGAGGAGGAGGAGGAGGAGGGGAGGAGGAGGAGGAGGAGGAGGAGGAGGAGGAGGAGGAGAGGAGGAGACATTCATGTTCATGGCGCGTTCTCTTCTTCGAGGGTTTGCAGGGCCACTCCGCGAGGGGGGCACAGGAGGGCCGGGCGAGGAGGGCGGACCCCCCGTGTTGAAGGGGCTCGCTTTTGAAGGGGCGGGGGGAGGTGCCCGGGGGCCTCCCAGGGGGGGGGGGGGGGGGGGGCGGTCAGAGCAGGCGTGGTCGGAGGGCCGCGCCGCATCGCCAGTGCAGCGGGAGTGTTCGGCGCCGAGCGAGGGGGGGGGGGGTAAAGTGAGATGGGGAAAGCCTTTCTCGGGAGGCGGCGGGGCTCCTCAGAGGCCCTCGCGCCCTCTGAGGTGCCTCTTGTCTGTGTCTTCTCTTGGGGGGAGGCTCGGAACACTTCTCAGCAGAAGGCGGGGGGGGGGGGGGCTTCCGAGCCTTCCGAGAAGTCCCGCCCCTCCTCACTTCCACCCTGGGCTCGCCGCCGAACCTCGGGGGTCCCAGAAGCCAGACCCCCTCGAGTCATCAAAACAATCACGGCAGATCTGTGCCGCCGCTCTCGGCCTCTGGAGGCCCTCACCGTGATGAGAAGTCGGTCACGCGGGGGGGGGGCGGCATTACGGACAAAACGCGACGTCAGGTGACGGACCGCGCGGTGACCTCGAAATCCCAAGAGGCCTCACCGCGCGGTCCGTCACCCGCACGGTCTTGGCACCTTGGAGGCCCCATGGTCGTCCGAGACGTCCTCCGGGAAAAGGCACGAGTCTCGAAGCCGTGCGGTGACCCCGAATCCCCACTGACCCACCACGCGTTGTGGTCACCACACCGCTTGGGGCCCCCCGAAGTACGCTTGCTGTGCGGATTTCTGGGGGTCTCTCGCGCCCGAGTCGGTCTTCATCACGCCGCCGAAGGCGAACTCACAGAAGAACTGCATGAGAAGGTCAACGTCGTTCGTGATTCGCTGGTCCGCCGAGTCCACGCGCCCGTCGAGGTTGCTGAGCGTGTAGTACAGCCTGCCCGTCCTGCTGAGGTACATCTCCTGCAACTTGGCCTGCAGATTCGATCTCCACTCGATCATCAGCCTCACCGTAAGGAAGTTGGCCACCGCCTTGGTCACCCCCTGCAGAGGGCCTCGGAGAGAGCGGTCGGAACGGGCGTCGGAAGCAACCAAGCAACACTCCTACAGAGCATATGTTTGACCCCCCTCTCCGAATATTCCAGCACTCTTGCCATCGCTCGGACATCCATTCCCTGTGCATTCTTCGGTTTCATGCCATTTTTGCCAGAAGATCCAGGATGCTCCTCGATGGCCCTCGCCGAGCAAATAACGCACACGTCCGAGCGATGTCAAGCACCTGGCGTTGGATCTCACAAGTTCGGCTCCTACAATCCTGGGGGGTATTCTGCTAGCGGGCGGTTATGGCCAGACCGCGGCGACGGCCTCGGCGAGGTCGGAGGCGACGGCGACGACGGACAGCGGCGACGACGACGGCGACCTTGGCGACGGCGACGAAGGCGACGTCGGCGACCACGACGGCGCCAGCGAAGGCGCTGATGACAACGCCAGCGGCGACGACGACGACGATGTCGACGGCGACGGTGGTGAAGGTGGTGGCGTCGGCCACGACGACGGCGCCAGCGGAGGCGCCGATGACGACGCTGGCGGCGGCGACGATGACGATGGCGACGGCTACGGTGGAGATGGCGCGCGCAGTGAGCTGCTGGATCGCGGCTCTTCGGTAAAACCGCAATGCTGAAGCGCGCGCCGTGGGTTGCTGAAGCGCCCTCGCTCTGACAGAAAAGAGGCGCTGCAGCGCACGCCGTTGGCTGCTGGAGCGCTCTCGCTCGATAAAACGTGCAGTGCTGCAACACACGCTGTGGGTTAATGGAACGCGCGTCCTAGGCGAACATGGAACGCTGGGCGGCATCCGTGTTATCGGCATGGGCTGCTGGAGCGCAGTCGCTTGGTAGCAGTGGGGCGCTGGAGCGACACCGCCCTCAGGCTTTGACTATAATGCTGACGAAGAACAAGTATGGGAGGGGAGGGCACGGGTGGCGAAGGCACCAGCATAGTGGTCACGCCTCGATCTTATGAGGGCCACGGACGCAGCGAGGACCGAAGCGTGACCCCCCCCCTTGAGATACCCTAACTACAAGTGCGCCTTCTTGCACCTCCACCAGGCTGCTGGTTCCAGGCTCCACTGGCTCTCTAAGTGCCAGCCGAGGCCAGAGGATGAGGACAACATCAGCCGGGGATACCTCGGGAACCTCCCCGCATCGGCTTGCCGCCCACGGGCGGCGCGGCGGCATGCGGGCGCACCTGCTCGCGCTGCCGGCGGACCACCTGCTGCCCGCGCGGGCCGCCGCGTTGGCTCGCCGCCCATGGCATGGGCGGGGCGGCGGCGTGCGGGCGCACCCTGCCCGGGCTGCACCTGCGGACCACGCTGCCCGCGGGGGCCGTCTCGCCTCCGCGCCCCGCGCCCGGCGCGACGGGTGGCGCGCGCGCGCGAACCCCTCCGCGCCCTCGCGCGGCCACCCCCAGAGGGAGCGCTGCTGCGGGCCGTGGCGCGCGGTGCGCGCGTGGCCCCCGCGCCCCCGCGAGCGGCCCGTGCTGGCAGGGCAGAAGGCCGGAGCCCCTGCGGCGGCCATGTGCCGGAGCGACCGCGGCGGCGGCCACGCCGAAGCAGCGGCCGAGCAGGGGCCGAGCACTGCGAGCGCGGCCGTGCCGAAGGGCAGCCCTCGTGCGGCTGCGGCTGACTGCTGCAGCCAACGCGTACCACAAGGACGCACGACAAGGATGCAAGGGCCCTGGAAGGCCACGTCGAAGCTTTCCGAGCGGGGCGCGGCCAGCGAAAGTGGCCAAGGATGGGCGGAAGGGGCAAGGATGCAAGGGTACACCTCGGGAAGGATGCCCATCCTTACTTTGCGGGTTGACTGTATCCCGCGTCGCCCTCCGTCCACGGCGTTGTCGTCACTGCTCCCCCGCCGAACTTTGCCCGAGGGGTCTGGGCTTCTCTTGGGCAAGCGTCGGCTGCGCGCAAGAGTGGCCCTGGGCAGGAGTGAACTTTGGTGCGTGGCTTTGGGGTGCCCTGGGGGGCCGCAGGCCAGTGCTGGGGGACCCCCCGTGGGCCCGCACCAAGGTCACCCTGGCGAAGAGTCACTCTTACGCGTAGATGATGCAAGCGGGCCGGCGGCAAGTCTCATCTTCGGTCCAGGGTCCTTGAGGACCCTTCCGAAATTCCTGCAGTGGGCTCCAGCGCAAATGCGATATACTTCTCAAGACAGTGCAATGCAAATCCAGTGCAAATCCAAAATCATGCATGCAAGTGCGAACCGAATGCAGTGCTCAAGTATTCAAACCGTTGTAAGGCACAGCAGCACAATGAACATCACCTCTGATCAGCTCAATTCCAATCAAGCCATGAAAGCACAGCTATGCAATGGAGTGCACTGCGCTCCCAGGTAACTCAAAACATTGCAACACAACGTTACGCAAACCACTGCATTCGTCATAGCTTACCCTTGCGTAGAATTTCCGCTTCGCTTGCATCAACTCGCAGGTGAAAGCTGATGCTCAAATTGTCTTTAGCTCAGACAGAGACTGCTCAACACCAAATTCAACTTCCATTCGCAACATCCGCGAAACCAACCGCGGAACGGCCCGGGCGTGGCTTTCCTGTGGTCTCTCCACACTGCCGTGCCCGGCAGCTCGAGGGGCTCTGGAAAAAAAAAACTCTCGCGCGCAGTGCTCCTGCCTTCCTGCGTGCCTGCGTGCCTGCCTGCCTTCTCCGCCTTCTTGCCTCCTCCTCCCTCTTCTGCTCACCCTCTGCTCCCGTCCCCTTCCTTTTCCCTCCTGCCAAACCCCCTCTGTGGCTGCTGTAGCCAGCATCAATTGCGTGGCTTGGGTGATTTGTGTCCTGCCCGTCTGGTCCCCCCCCGTTCCACCCACTAAGTCTCGGCGGGTGCATTTGGACCGCATTTCCCCGAGACCTCTGGCCCGACGTTTTCAGGAAGGCTGAGAAGGCGGCTCGGGGGAAGTCATATACAGACCGACTCGCTTCGCGACCGGTCCCACCTCATCCCACCCACTCCTGCCGCCCCCCTCCCCCCTCCCTCCGCCTCTGCAGCCTCCACCGGGCGGAGGGGCGGAAGATCCCGAGGGCGAGCTCCAGTGCGGTGCTGCCTCGCGGCCCCCACGGCTGCCCGCCCGAGCGCTTCCGATTTTTTTTTGTTGAGGGGGGGACCCGCGCGGCCCGGGGGGGGGGGAGGGGCACGCTCGGCTGTCGAGGAGGGCCAGGTTCCCGGGCGCCCTGCCTGGAGCTAGGCCCGCTCGGCTGCCCGCTGGAGGCGGGGCCGGGGGGCCCCGGGCGCCGAGCGGGCTGTGAAGGGAGCCCCCCCCCCCCCGTGGGTGTGCACATCCCCGCGCTTCTCACCCCCTCGGGCGGCCCCAGACGAAGATGAGCGGCAGCAGCATCTCGTAGGACACGGTCATGTTCGTCTCCTGCCCGAAGATCTTGAACTGCGTCGAAGCCCCAGGCTGCATTATGCTCTTCAGGTTCATGAAGACCACAGACCACAGCGCCAGCATGGTAGCACACAAGAAATTCAGCGCCACAATCCACTGGCCCCTAGGCTGATCCCGGGAGGGGCGAGGCAGGCGCACGATTGACCAGCTGGAAGACACGACGGCAGACGCCGATTTCCCTCAGGCAGAAGCTCACCCAAAGTTGCACACAATTAACTAGGGACGAGTACTAGAGCCCCTGAAACTGCAGAGAGAGAGAGAGAGAGAGGGAGAGAGAGCGAGAGACGAGGGAAGTCTGCTGCAGACGACGACAGCGATGGCAATGGTGTCCTTCCTCTTCCTCCTCCCTCTACAGTGCTCTCTCCTCCTCCTCCTCCTCCTCCTCCTCCTCCTTCATTTCTTCCTCCTCCGCCTCCTCCTCATCGCCCACCCTCCTCCTCCTGCTACTCCTCCTCTTCCTCCTCTTTCTCCTCCTTCCCCTTGTCTCCATCGTCCCTTCCTTCGCATTCAATCCCCCACTGCCCCGCATTGTTCCCCTGAGGCACGGCCAGGCTCAGGGGTTGTCTGAATCACGGGAAAAGGGGGGTAAGGGGGAGATCGAGAGGTTGGGGTGACGTGCATAAACATAGTCCTCGCAGCGCCGGAGGAACTAGGAGTACCCGCTGGTTATCTCTTGGCGATATGGAAACTCAGGCGCTATAGCCTCGAGACCTGTCCAATGGCCCCAATTGGGGTGTGCCTGGAAGCAGTCTAAGATCCTGTTCCAACCTTTCCCAAGACGCCTGCAGGCCTCTCCATCGAGCCCTTCCACATCTCCACAATACCCCCGTGAACGCCCTCTAGACTCTCTATCTCCCTCTCTGCCTCTCTCTCTCTCTCTCTTTTTTTGTTTCTCTCTCTCTCTCTCTCTCTCTCTCTCTCTCTCTCTCTCTCCTTTTGAAAACACATCCAAGGTACCACTGACATTGGGATCCGTACATCTGCACCAGAACAGGCCTTTAGCTTACACTATGCAGATGCGGAGTGATACGCCACGAGGCGTCTTGGATAGTCGCGAGCAGAAGGTGATCATGATGGCATATCCTCACCAGGCGCCAAAAACACTGCAAGGAACCATGGCGAGGGTCGCTCAATGGCTTCCCCACGTATGGCGACAACACCATGGCATCTGGATCCTTTGGCTCGTCATTCAAGTCACTCTGGCTCGTCCATCCGTCGTACTCCTCCTGGTCCTCCAAGGCGTTCCTCCAGTCCTGCAGGTTTTCCTGAGGGTCTGGCAAAGCTCCCAGTGACGACGTGTGGGCCATGTACAGCGTCGGCTTGGACATCGTCCTGGTGAGTGCCGCGGAGGACATGCTCTTCGTCAACGTTGTCCCTTTGCTGCTGTTGCGCGGCAACATGGGGGGGCCGAAGCCCGCCTGAACCGACCGCACCGGGAACCCCTGCCGCGACGTACCCCCAGGAGGCGAAGGGGGGGGGGGGGGGATCGTCTGAGGGGAAACCAGGAGGGAGGACTGCCTCAGGGGGAGAGAAACATCGAGCTGGAGTGGGCGACACGTCGACGCTAGATCGGCGACAGGCCCCAGTAGCCAACCCGCACGTTCCCGGGTGGGCCATCGGGCCCTCATCGGCGATAAATGGGCGACTGAGGATCGATGCGTCCCCCCCCGAATAGCCCTCCTGACGCTGCCCATCGTGGCTTTCGGGCCAGAGCTCGGCGGGCCTCCAGCGCACCTCTGGGAGGATCGGGGCACCTCCCCGAAGCGCTCTGGGCGAGGCGCAGCTGCTGGATCGCACCCCGAGGCCTGGAAAAACCGCCGACAACCGACGAGCATGCCCGAACATCTCAGACCTCGCAGCCCTGAACCTGGACGCATCCCCCCCCTGACGTTGCCCCTGAGGAGGAGGAGGAGGAGGGGGAGGAGGAGGAGGAGGAGGAGGAGGAGGA